TATAAACTAATTATTATATAATTCTATACAAAATTAGTCCAATTTCCAGTGAGAAATGAATGGAATTATCCCAATGAAAACAACTTAAGGGGAACACCAAGTGACTGGTCAGGGAATTTTGATGTGCTACAGGCTGTTTTTGAGCGAAAAAAAACGATACGTATCCGACCGTTCTTGCTAATGGCCTATAGTTTCGAAGAAATTGATTTTTAAAGAATAAGTCTAGTCGGCCGATATACGGGTGGGACTCTGTATATATTTGATCGTGCGTTCAAATTCTGTCGCGTATATTATTTTTTTTATTAAAAATATGTTTGTATCTGTAATTATTTATATTACTGTAAACGTTCGAAAAAAATTTATTTAATTATATCTTTTATTTAATTATATCTGTATATTTTTTGTAAATAAAATTTTTAAACATAGGTCTATCTATTATTCAGTGTGTTTACAAAGTAATTTCAAGTAATTTGAGATATATTTATAGATATAATTATGAACAGATTCCTTATATTTACAAAATTAAAATCGCAAGATTTTGTATATTTTTTTTACGTCATTTACCATTTCTTTAACCACGCTAAAATGTAACTTCATCTAATTAAAAATTTTGTTTTTTTTGCAAATTATTATAGGTGAATACCAAGAAGAAATATTGGGTACATATATTGGTTTACGAAAAAAATAAAGAAAGTTATATAGAATAAAAGAATGGAATCGGTTGCTAACGTACGACGAATAATTTAACTATTTATCCAAGAAAAGACTACAAGTCTCACAGAAAAATAAAAAATATTTGAAGTTGGTAACGTAAATTCGAAGCAACGATGTGGGTTTATAAAAAATGAAGAGGAAGTGTCGCAAATTTTACAAACTTAACTTTTGAATTTTACAAACTTAAAATCACATCCCTGTGAGAAGAGATACGAGGCCAGGATCCATGGATATTAGGAAATTTCTCGCATACATACGCAATACAATTATAAACAGTTATTAATACAGTATAAGAATTTTTCAAAAATGATTAAAATTATGCTAAACAAAGTTATGCTAAGTACAGTGTTAAGCAATCTCGATTAATCTTATTATTTTTGTCAGAATTGTACATACAAAAGAGAAGAATAACAACACTATATATTACTAATATATAATATAATGTGTGTATAATATAATATACCTAATATGTAACCTTTCTATATTATTAAGACGTTAGATAAAACTGGATTTATGAACTTAAAAAGCTTGAATACAAAATAAATAAGTAACTCTGATTATAATAATAATAAACTTAAACTATTTTTAGTAAATATATCTAGTATATTTTATGCGATACCTCCATTTATTATACTAATAAAAGATAAAACAAACAAGTAATATCAAGTTATTAGTAAGAATAATTTAAATTTATTATTATTATTATAAAGAGATTTGTATATAAATTATTTGAAAGAGAATTTGAGTTTCGAGTTAAATATATATGTGTAGCTAAATATATATGGTTATGTATTTGTTTTTGATAAAGGAATCTATCTCACATATTTGAAGCAAATTGTTATACATCGTTATAATCCGTTGTAAACTGTACAATTTCAATCTAATTTAGCTATAATAAATCTATTTTAAGGCTGCAATCTCTATGCTTCAATATATCTGATAAAAACAAAAATTATACAGAAAATTTTATGTTATATATTTTATATGTTATATTGCGTTTAACATATTTTCACGCTATTTTGTTGTAGATTCCGTTTTTCTATTTTAATCTTTAAAGGTTTAATTGTAGATAATATTATATATATATTTAACTGTATATCTTTTATATCTATACTTTTATCTACTTTGAATATAAATGCTCGTACCAAAGTAGCTAGAATAACTTTTATAGCAATCATCCCATAGTTCATACCTGTAAATTTTTATTCATATATAAGCTAAATTTACTTATTTTATGACTTTCTTAATTCTACTAATATTTTATTAATGTTTACCTATACAATTTCTTGGACCATCACTAAAAGGTATATAGTAATATGAGGGATTTGCCTTTATTTTGTCTGGAAGAAATCTATCCGGATTAAATGTTAACGGGTTTGGCCAATATTTTTCATTTCGATGTAAGTGTATAATTGGTATAACAACATCTGTCCCTTTCGGCAAAATATGATTTCCTGAAACATATTTCTAATATTAAGATAGTATAGTAGTAGGAACTAAAGCAAATAGCAATAGTAATTTTCAATTCACATTTCACATTTCACATTTCACATTTATAAATCTATTCTATCAATTGCAAATGTTATTTTATTGAAGAATATTTCTATTATAATATATTTTGTAGGAATTTTATGCATTTTTTTTTGCTTCTGATGTCACAACTAAAGACTAAAAAAATAATTGAAGTAAACATTTATATAGAATGTCATATAATTAATGACGTAGGCAGATAGAGATTGATACATCAGATTATATTAAATAGAAAAATTCTCTATCACTTGCAATTTCCGTAATAATTAATGAGATTTATTTATAAATATTCACGAATGTAAGAAACAGCCTATGTTACATACGCTTACGACTGTTAAGTGTTTGGTGAATTGTTTAGAAAATTGATCTATAAATGATAAAACATTTGTCTACAGTGCACACCTTCAAATAGGCAAAGTAATCCTATTAATTTTTCGCCACAATCACCTGATCTGATGCTACTCAATTTTTTTATATAGCTATTTAAAAACTAAAGTATTAGAAATCTAATCTAAAAACGATTTCGAAATAGATTTATCTTCCATAAGATAGAAGATATAGAAGATTCCAAGATTTCCAAGATTTCTTTCCATAATATAATTATACTTAAAATTACATACAATATTTTGTAAAAGCAAATGTGATGACTTAAATGTAAAATATCCAGCGTTCATTATGTAAAAATTTCATATTACTTTTTTTAAATAATATATTAATCTTATATATTAATCTTATATTTAATAAAATTTTATATTGTATATTACATTGTGTAGTTTTTATCTTTTTTTAATTCCCAGCGTTTTTTTTTTAGATACATCTGTTTCTGTAAAATAAGAAACAAAATGGTGTTATAATCGACCTGATCAGATTATACCTTCAATGTCTCTCTGACCTAAAATTATAATATAATAATCGTACTATCTACAACTGTATCATTATAAAAAAACAATTATTCAACTAGAAAAATGACGTTACAAGCTCTAAGAAGGATTGGCGCCAGTGATCATTATAATCAGCGTCAGTATAATAGTCCTCTCCCCATAGTAATACTAAACTACTAATATTTTTATATTTATATTTCAAATTGATCGTACTTTAAATTGTTAAAAATTTTCAGAAGAAATAAAATTAAAATTAACAATAATTACTTATAACAAATAAAATTGTATAAACAAACTCACCTATTTTTAAGTCTTCCATTAATTTCCGTCCAATTAGAGGAACAGTAGGGAAAATTCTCAAAGTTTCCTTAACAACGCAATCCAAATAATGCATACGTTGTATATCATCGTACTTCACTGGAGTAGTATTTGGAGTTTCCATACCGTAAATATCCAGCATTTCTTTATACACTTTTTCCTGTCATGGGATTAAAAATTTGTGAGTAATATATTGTATGATGTAACACATATTTTCTACTATGTACAACGTATTATATAATTTGTATTAATTGAAACATGATTTTATTTTCGTTATAATCAAATTGATAATAATAAAGATCAATCAAGATGTTGCATAATTTTATAACAGTTTTTAATGTAAATAGAATGTAACATTTGCATCGACATAAGTTAAAAGAAATTTGGTAATTTGTCCATCCGAATTATTTATCAGTTTACCTATAAACCTTATAAACATATTTCTTGAAAAACTTAATTTTTAAAAATATTTATCAAAATTATCAAAATGTATCAAAGTGTATCAAAATTTAAATTAAATCACAATAAAAATTACAACAAATAAATATCAATATAATTATTTATAAATAAAGTGAAATGCAGCTTTATTTAACAATATAAGTGATATATTTGTGGCTAGATAAATTTGCAAAAGCAAATTTTGCATATCTGTAGATTCTATAAGCAGCTTGTTAATAGAAATATTACAGAATTTAATGACAGCGTATGATAGATCTGTCATTTCAATAGATTTAATTGCACCATACTGCAGATTTTGTTTGCTTTCTATCATCATCCTATTGCTCAGAGATTGTAAACTCTGTCGATCTAATAACAGTAGAATGGACTCTGGTTGACTCTGATGATTCTAGATATGTCGGTAAATCTATTTGAATTTATCGCCAATTTGGCTTCAGTACTGCTAACAGAATTGCATACTGGAATGTAAGTCTAACGAAAATATTCTTTAGATTTACAATATATCACTTATATTATGTTAAATCTTAGAAGTTATGATTCTATCAATCAATGTATAAGTTAAAATGTGAAATGTATTTCTGAACAAATTTTATTTATATAATAATATATAAAATATTGTTATTTCAAAACAACATGTACGTACCTGTATTTTTGGAAAATTTGCCAACATAAAAATCACAAGATGAGTTGTAAAGGTAATTGAGTCACTACCCTATGTAATAATATTTGAAAAATATATGTAAAATAGATAATAAAATATGTAAAAATATTTTATCTATTTGTAAATAATTGTAGAATTAATATTTAGCAAATATTATTGTAATCATGTTATTGTACTTACAGTTATTATCAACGTTATAATATTATCACAAATCTCCTTTCTCGTAAATTTTTCAATATGAGATGATGCTATCAGCATATCGAGAGAGCTACAATCTGTATTATATAAAAAGAAATGTTATTAATAAATTCCTTATTTATTCTTTATTTAACTTAAAAAGATTATAGGGCTTTTGTTGGGATCAAAGAACCTATGTTTTTTATATTTTGTCGTAAAATAATTTTTTATGAATCTTTTTGCGCGAATTAAAATTTAAAATATTATTTTTAATCAAGAACATAAAACAATTGAAGTAAAATCAGAGACATATTTTGTCGCATTTTTGGTAAAATTTTTTTGGACTTTGTGTTTATTATAGATTCTTTATCACAGAATGAAAATCTTTTTCAAATATTTTAAAATTAAAAATAATCAACACGAACTGACAATAATTGATTAAACATATTGTCTTAAACATATTGCCTATCTATTATATGAAAATAACAGTGACTGTTAAGTCAGACTGAAAATAACAATTTGTTTTATTTACATGTCTATTTTAAACGTTTGCATTTTTTTGTATTTATATAAAATTAAATTTTTGTTTTTATATTTATATAATATTAAATTGTCTATGTTTTTCTGAAATTTAATATACTCAATATATTTTCTAGTCTATAATTTTCTAGATATTATCTTCTTTCTTATATTTTGGAATTGTAATCTTTCGGGATATTGTCTAATTTCTAAGATTTTGAGATTGTGACTTTTAGGAAATTGTCATACATTTTGCAACATTTTATATGTCATTTTATACGTCATAAAATCTTTAAAGATTATCGCTGTAAAAGTTTTATTTATGATGTATTATTAGTTTTCAAGTTTTAGTTTTCAAATAACAAATAGATGCTTCATGCTTCTCCTTGAAAATCCTTTCCGTTCGTAAAGATCCTATAATCTTATGATCAAATTTATAAATTTAATGTAATTTATTACACATGCACGCATGCACGTACACACATACACATGTACGTACGATGTCCCCCTTCCCACGCCATATACGCATTTATAATGATAGCCTTACCGATAGTGTCATCGTTGTACTTGACCGTATTTGAATGGTTTATCCGTTGTTGTATCATCTGTAATAAATATTGTGAATAAAGTAATGTAAAATATTAAGAAAATATATTTTATATATACCTTATCGATAGCAGCTTGCATAAAATTTAAAATCTTTTTCTGTTCGCGTCCCATAGCAGTGAGATTAAATATAATGTCAGGATGTAAATAAATTTTCCAGAATCGATATCTTGCAATTTCCTTTAATCTGTAAGATGTATTTCTTTTTATTACATATGTGTATACAGAGGACATTCAATCAGAATTGCATAACATATATAGCAAGTAAAGCGGATTAAATTGAGTAGAAAATTCCTTTGCTATTTGCTTTCGCAATTAATGAAATATTAATTAACAAAGAACTACATACGAAACGTATATTCACGTAATTCAACGATGAACAAATGTGATAAAAAAAAAGAGAGAGTAATAATAAGAAGCACGCTTCTAGCAGTGAATACATGTAATAGTATTCTGTCTCTAAATGCTTATTTGCGGACTTTTATTAATTTATAACTCATTACATGTAATAGTAATTGCAAAACTTGTAAAATGATTGTTTTCACAAAAGTTTCTTATTTAGTTTAATCTTCTCACACATATAAACATACAATCTATTCATATATTACATGATTGATATCAAATACTCTATTGTATACGTATAAACATTACAAATTTATAATTGAACCAATTATAATTATTAATTTTTATAGATATAAAAAATTATTGTTTCTAAAATTACATTGTAATGCATATATTTATAACAATTTAATTTAAAATCCTAGATAGAATTCACAAAGAATCCACAAAGAATTCTTACAAATAACTTTTTTATTACAAATAACCTTCTTTCATGATTTGTAATGTTTTAGAAATTCATAGAATAAAATAATAGAACAAATAAATAGGAAGAAAAAGGCCAATGAACAAGAAAAAAATTAAGATCTAGTTATTAAAATACATGTAAAGATATTTAATTATTAAATTAGAATCAAAATATATATAAAGCTTGGGATATTTAGGCTTATCAGAAATTTTCTGGTATATCATAATGTAATTGTTTAAGAAAATATAAAAATTTTGTTCATATGTACAGATTTGTTAATTGCAAAAATTGATTTACCTTTTTATTGCTTTCATAAACTGATGAAGAATATCTGTTTCCATCTTAATGTCCATAGTATCTTAATATAATAACACATAAGAAAATAACTTATTATTTTAAAATAATATATAATGAGTATATATATTAATAATGTTTATATCACTTATAAACAAAATGTCTTATAATTTCAAAAAGAAAAAATTGTGTCAATGTAAAATTGAATATTTTATTAATATTATTATTTGTTTTAAAGTATGTAACATTAATTTTAAACAATTAAGTTACATGTAATTACATGTAATTATATTACATAATTGTTTATATTGTGTTTATATTGTGTGGATCTCTTTAGTAAAGTGTCTTAAATAATAAACGCATAAATAATATAAATTGATATTTTATACTATAAATTTATAACAAATTAACAATTGATAACTAATTTGAGTAAAAGCAATGAATCTGATTAATAATGTTCATTCAAACTTCAAACTCTATAGCATTTAATTTTTTTTAATTAAGCGTAAAGCGAAATTGTATTGTAATCAATATTGTAATGGATTATAATGCATTAAAGTGTTAATTTTTCAAATACTTTTTAGGAAGCTGTCTGTGTTTCTTATATATCGTTGTATAAATAAATAAATAATATATACATAATATAAAAATATATTAAATTTTATAATCTTACCACATGTAATTCCTAAAACACATTTTGCTATATATTTAAGAAAGACAATTTCATTGTTATTTTGCGCAATTTGCTCTAATTCTTCATTAAGTATTAAAGCTTTTTTAGCAAATACTTTAAAAAATTTTTTCAACATGTATGCATTAAAGATTGGTGCTATCATTCTTCGAGATCGCGTCCATATGTATACTGAAATAATTATTATAAAGTTATATCTATATAGAGGAAAATAATGATCATAATATTAAAGCAAATTAGTGTAAAAAATATTAATATGAAAAAATGCTTTAAGAAAATGATATTGTTAACAATAAATATTAAAATGTAATATTACTAATTATAAGTATAATAAAATATAACATAAGAATAACTAATACTAATAGACAAATAACAATATTTTGTATAATAATAAATTTTGAATGTTATAGATATAACATTATGTAAATACATTTTTATCAGATAATGATAGAGTTATATTTCTTACGTTTATTAAGTAGAAAAAAGTAACAAATAAATAAAATGTCAAAGCTCGTGAGAGCTTATATAACAACCTGAGAGAGAAAAGGTCAAAAACGAGCATAAAGAATAAATAATCACATTTAAAAAATAGCTTATATATTGAACTGAAAATCTAATGCGAATCGATAGTACATTTAATTCTAATAATTGACTTCTTAAACGTTTCGAGCTGCAGTCGCACTGAGTCTTCTTCAGTAATACGAAAAAGTGACAAAAAGTTTATAAAATAAAGTAATCTAAATTGGTGACGGATACGCATTCACAAAAGTCTGTAAACGTCTTCGCAATCGATGCACAGTCGTCGTCTTTTAAAAAATTATTAACAATTATTCGTCGTTCGTAGACGAAAATAAGTTGAATCTCGAGAGGAATAAAAAGTCTTGATGTCAAAATATAAGGTCAGAATTAACATACTATAGTGAATTCTGAATGTCGATAAAAAATTCATCAGATCGCAATGGCTATGCAACAATCACGAAGAGGCGCAGTAATTAATAGACGTAATATCGAAGACCAAAACGGAAATAATGTTAGAGCTAGCAATGCTAGGCAGATCTAGAACTGTTGAGGGCCGATTCGCGTTTGTTAGATTTTCAGTTTAATATATAAGCTATTTTTTAAATGTTATTATATATTCTTTGTGCTCGTTTTTGGCCTTTTTTCTCTGAGGTTCTTAGAAAAAAATAATATATATTAATTATATTCCCACAGATAGCCAAATCTGCGCAAGTAGATTTTGAGCAGAGCCTGCTACAAATTTTTGATAGAGATTTCAGAAAAGTAACTCCAATTCTGTTTTATCTAATTATGTTGCCAAACTGCTGTCAAAAATATGATAGAACCTGCAGGCAATGCGAACAAATTGGCGACAGAAACCGAGTAGACTCTGCTACTCGGAAGTTTGGCGAATCAGAATCTGATCAATTTCTGCTGCCAGTCTGCTGGTATAGCATGCCAGCAAGTTAGATAAATCTTGAGTTGAATGCAGATTGCAATCAAAATCTAATCGAATTTGTCCATCTACCAGCAAATTGCTAATATATTGCTAACTGGATTGTTACAAAACAACTAGTTAAATAATTAAAAAACTAAGTATTTTAGTTGTAAATATATCATACCAGGAGCTGTCAATAATCCTGTGCCAAATAATGATTCACCATATTTATATATTATACTCTTGTCTAAACAATTTTTACTGCGTAAGACAATCTATAACATGATAAATTATTTTTTTTTAAATTTACATGCATTTATTTTATTTGAGCAGTTAATATATACATTAAAAAAATTTGTATTAAATTTAAGAAATATCGTATCTTCCGATTATTTAAATTTTTGTATTAATTTAATAATATAATATTGTGATAATATCGAGAATATTATAATGATACTAATTTTATATATAATCTACTATGTTATTATTTCAACATAAAATAAGTGCAATCTTTATCAGAACGTAAAGTCAAGTTATTATATAAAATTAATAAGTTGTATTTAAAATTTTTTATTGAATTTTATTCAGTAATTTTATATCTTAGATTAGCTAATAGTAAATATAAAATCACAAAAATTTATTGAATTTACATAATAATGTATGTTAAGTTTATATGAATGTTTATCTGTACATAAAAGCACGTCTGTGTTGCCTGGGAAAAATTTTAAATTCAAGTCTTTTGGGCATATTATAAAATATCTTAAATATTATCTGGAGAATTTCTAATTGAGATTTGTATCTCTTTATAATGTATAAACAAATTTTTAAATACTATTTATACTAAAAACATTATAACAAAATAAAACAAAATGTTTCTTTACCTTTATTTGATCTGGTTCGTATATTCCAACTAGTACTTTATGGGCCACATAAAATTGTGTTGGCGATGGATACTTTTCTGCCATTTTATTTATGACATTCAAAATACCTATAAATTTAGAAATTTTAAGTAATACTAAATAATATTAATGTAATATTATACTATTGATGTAGTAGGAAAAAAAGTGTGCCGTCAGTAAAATCATTTAATTGAGACATTCTTTAACAACTAAATATTTTGCTTTATATAATTGTTTCTACAAAATAATACATTTTTCTGATTTGTGATTTTGTTTTTAAAAATATTTTATGTACAAAACAAGCATTTTTAATTAATTTCTCTATGCAGAGTAATAAAATTTTATTTTACATATATTAAAATAATACTTAATAGATATTATTTATGAATATTATTTTTTTTATAAAGTAAAATATAAAGATATATAAAGATTATATAACAGAAAAAAGTATAATAATTTAAACAAAACTCTCTCCGTTTTGTTTAAATTATTTTATTATCAAACAATTATTTTATGCATGAAAATATCATATACTTTAGACCGTGCATAAATACATGGTGTGTCATCCAGAAATAAGCAACATGTTTTTAAATAAGTGTTGATAGAAAATAGGGTCTCCCCTTCCTGAAGAATCAAAGAATGTTGCGTTTAAATTTCGATCAGTTAATAATATTGTAATAGCGTCCGCTAGGACAGGAAGGGATAATAACAATAATAATAATAATAATACTGCTGTAATAAGGATAGATCACAATTAAGAAGTAGGATTTATCTATGTTTCTTCTTAGTTTGATATACGTGACATAATGCGACAAGTCATTCAGTTTTACAAATCTTTTTGTAATATATATTGTACATATATCGCAAAAAAATATAATGTATTTATTATTTTTTTATATAAAAGCAATAAAAGCATAAAAGCAACAAAAGCTTTTGCAGAGCATATGTGTGAATTACTTCGTTGAAGTATTTCATTATATATTTAAAAGTTCACATAAATATTTAATCATTGCAATTTAATTGTCAGCAATATTTTGCAATGATATTTTATTTTTAAAAGTATTATGTATGAATGTTTAAGAATTTATATAATGTGTAAAATAATATTTAATCATTGTAATTTTAAGCATTAAAATTGTAAACTTGTAAATACTATAAGCTAAAATTACTAAAATTATTAAAATTACTAAAAATTATTTATATACTGTTTTTAATACTTAGATTAGTCATTAATCATGAACTTACGAGTATTAAATATCTGTAAGAGAAATTAAATTTTATCTCGTTTTAAAATATAATTAATTTAATATATTAATTTTAATACTTTTAATTATAACTTAATTTATTTTGGAATTCTAAATTTAAAAAATTCTTCTATTCTTTCTAATTCTTTAAATTTTTTAAATATATTGTTTGTTATTACCTCCAAATATTTCGTAAAGAAAACTGTAAGAAGTACCCAGAAGTGGCATCGCTTTTGATTCTGGTAAATTTAGTCTTTTAGTAAAAAGTACCTTCTGACGCCAACTGCAAAAAAAATAAATTATAACAATTATCAAACAAATTAACATAAAATTTTCAAACATTGTATTAAACAGTAAATAATGAAACATTGTATAACTTGGCATGTTACAAATAGAATGCCAATATTATAATCAAGTTGATGCTCTTTTATTGTGTATTTCCCCACCCAGATGAACCTTGACATTAAGAAGAGAAATAACCTAAATAAAATTACATAAGTTGGGCGATTATGGATTTTAATGACCTTAACATATATTGTATGCAATTTCAAATCACATTATGTGCAAATGCAATTTTGCTTTAGTATGCATTTCATGTGGGATAGACGAGGAAACAATTGAGAACCAGAATAAAAAAATATGTAAATAACATAAGGATATTAGAGTTAAAAAACACTCGGTAATTACAGAATATATTTTGAATTTTGGCCATTCATTTGATTGAGAGAACATTAAGATTCTAGACTAAAAATCTAATTATAACAAGAGACTGATCTCAGAAATATTATATATTAAGGGGGAATCTCATTTTTCGGGTAAAAAAAAGACTCGAAGCTACGAAAGAGGCTCGAATAAAACGAAGAAACGAACAGATGGCTCAAAATCAATTTTAAAGATGAGAAAAGAGTGTTATATGGCTCTAGGATAGCAGAGTAACAGATATAAAATGTAAATACTTGATATATTTATATAAACTAAACTTAAAACTTTAAATGCTGTTTTTTCAAAATTTTTGCAGATGATGTGCACCGGGTCCATCATGGAGATTTATAACTTCCATTAGACTTCTATGAACCCTCCAAAAGATCTCTACAGAAAAAGTTAATAAAAAAAATTTTTTATGATGCTGAACAAAAATATTTCTTCGAAGGAACAATGTAAAAAATAATTAAAAGGATAATTTCCGCATTTTTTTCTTCCACAGAAAGCTTAGGTTTGAAAAATTGAAAAAAATTGCCTATATATAATCATATATATACTTTTAGTCATTTGGTGATATATGGATTGATGAGTGTAGGAGAATTAATTAGAATGAGGCGAAGTTCTAAGTCGTGTTACTTTATTAATCCGGTTTTATAAAAGTATAATCTCGCGACCCGCCTTGACTCCTCTAAATCTCGAGATCGAATGTTCGTCTTTTCTTTGTCGGATCAATTGTCCGAATAACATATTTTGTTCGAGACGTTTCTTCCATCGTCCAAATATTTTTCGACTTGTTATTATTCTCGCTTTCGTCATAATTTGAATGTTCTGGTTCATTATCAATGTTGTTAATTATTTAATTCTCCCGACTGCCAGTAATTAATTAAACCTCTCTAAATTTTATATGCCGAGACAATCGAAAGGATGCACGCAGATAATTATTTACTCAGCTCGAAACAATTAAGCGGCATCTCCATTTCGAAAAGAAACGAAGATACAATCGTTATATCTGTCGCTCGATTCCGCGCAAATACATAACGATTCCGAGTGACCCGACTATGTGTGCGTGTGTCCTTCTAAATACGCGTGTTCGCTTTAAGAGTCGTAGCAAACATATTGCCACAGTCATAAATATATCTGATTATATATAGGCGATTTTTTTCTTCAAAGTTAACTTAACTTCCTGTACAAGAAAAAAAATGCGAAAATTATCCTTTTAATTATTTTTCATTGTCTCATTACTATTATATTATTTTTTTATATCAAACAGAAATTTTACAAAAGAAAGAAACTAATATGAACTAATATCCCAGCGAGAAATGGAATCAACGTCGAATCGACATCGAATCGATGATTTTCTTTTATTATAAACTAAAGTATTGATTAATATTGACAAAAATATATACATTTATCAATGTATTAATTTTTTATGTATTCATATGCATGTACATATAAAAAAAGAAGATTTTCTCTGAATAAAAAAAATTGTTCGTATAGGAACACACACACACACACACACACACACACACACACACACACACACACACACACACACACACACACCACCACACACACACACACACACACACACACACATCACTATGCCTTCTTTCTCTCTCACTACTCACTACTCACACTACTGAACTTGGTCGATATACATATATATATGTGTCAATTACAGCTGTGATAGCGCTTGACAGCCGACATCATATGTAACGAACATGGCGGAATCCACGAACAATTCAGAGGATGACCGTCTGTCGTGTAAAATCTTGATTATTGGTGCCGGTATGGCTGGATTGTCGGCGGCGTCTCATTTGTTAAAGAACAATGAGACGGATTTTCTGATCGTCGAGGCGCGCGGACGTATAGGTGGACGAATCGTTGCGGCGCAAGTCGGTACGATCGGTCTAACCTCTCCTAATCTTGACTAACTCGCTTGTACAATTCTCTTTTAAATTTATTTGCTGCGCGATATAAAAGTGATCGATTGTGCAATTAAAACAATAATATGCTAGAAGGTGTAAAATCACAATTTTTCTCTACAACTTTGGAATATAAATTATCATTAATTATGTAACGATGAAAGACTGAACAGAATCAGTACTTTTAGAAAACGTAAATGAAAAAATCATTTGTCGTAAATATATTTTGCATAATTTATTAGAATTCTATAATTTTATGTAAGCGAAAAAAAAATTATTTGTATATTATAAACATGGAAGGAAGAAAAAACATTTGTCAATCTTTTATAAAGATCTTTCATCGATTGTGTATTCTATTATTTTTTACAAATAAGATTAAGTTTAAAAATTTTGAAGTAGTAATTTTTCACATTAATATGTTTTGTATAAAAGTTGTGTAAAATCTTATCGCTTATTTTTAAAAAATTTATAGGAAAACAATACATACAATTCTTCCGTTTCATTTAGGCAATGAGAAAGTTGAGTTAGGAGCAAATTGGATCCATGGAGTGTTGGGTAATCCTATGTTCGAGCTGGCGATGGCAAATGGTTTAATAGACATTGTACATGTACCAAAACCTCATAAAGTAGTAGCAGCATTGGAAGATGGTAAACAATTGCCGTTTCCTGTCTTGCGAGAGATTTATGAGGCTTATGTTTGTTTCTTGAGACGATGCGAAGAATACTTTTTAAGCACATATAGTCCACCAGATGGTATAACTAGTGTAGGAGCGCATATTGCCCTAGAAGCGGAGATATATCTGTCGTCTTTGCCACCCGAACAACGAAGAGTGAGACAATTGATCTTTGACTGTTTACTCAAAAGAGAAACTTGCGTCACGGGTTGCGACAGTATGGACGATGTCGATCTTCTGGAAATGGGCTCCTATGACGAACTTCAAGGTGGTAATATCAGTCTTCCGAATGGGTATAGCGCTATATTGGAACCAGTTTCTAAACATATACCAGAGGAGCGTATTCTTACTAAACACACCGTAACAAAGATTAGGTGAGTTTGTAGCAATTATTTAAAAAATGTAAGAATGTATCAGTATATTCTAATATAAAAACCACAATATGAATCTATTATTTATTTATTTTAGGTGGCAGAAACAAAAATGTTCTCGAGACGATAATGACGTTACGGGAAAACTTGATTCTAATTCAAATAGCCTTATAGAAGTACAATGTGAAAATGGAAAAACGATCACCGCTGAACATATAATATGTACATTACCGTTGGGCGTTTTGAAAAGGACAGCTCAGGATTTATTCGAACCATCGTTGCCAGCTTACAAACTCGAAGCAATAAACAGATTAATGTTCGGTACAGTAAATAAGATATTTCTTGAATACGAACGGCCTTTCCTGAATCCCGGTGTATCGGAAGTGATGCTTCTCTGGGACGATGAGCGATTATCTGAAGCGGAGAAGCGGGACATTAGTAAAACTTGGTTTAGAAAGATATATTCATTCATCAAGATTACGGATACACTGCTTCTCGGTTGGATATCCGGTCGCGCAGCGGAATACATGGAAAAACTGAGCACTACAGAGGTGGCGGAAGCATGTACGACAATTCTGCGACGATTCCTCAACGATCCTTTTGTACCAACTCCGAAGAATTGCTTGCGTACCACGTGGCATTCTCAACCTTACACACGAGGTTCTTATACCGCAATAGCTGTTGGAGCGAGCCAGCTGGACATCAGGAGTTTGGCTGAGCCATTAATTCAGGAAAAAATGGACGACGAGACGGATGAAACAGTCAAAGTGCTGGTGGCATTTGCAGGCGAACACACTCATTCTTCGTTTTATAGCACAGTACACGGAGCGTATTTGACCGGTCGAACAGCAGCTGAATTGTTCTTGGGTACCAAACAGAGTGAGAAGCATGCATTGAGTCTTAGTTGCGAAGATACCAGCGATTTAAGTTCGTGGATACAAGGCATTTCCTTGAATTAATGCATATTTTTTCAAGGAATGGATAAGCCTGATAATTTACAGACTTTTACAAATGTTTATAGATGTATTTAACTTATATACATACGCGAATATTTACGTTTGTGCGATTGCTTTCGTTTTGTAAATATAGTGCAAAAGCTGTCATCGTGTACATAATGGTGCTTTTTAAAATTTTAAGACTTTACGATTATATGTGAATGACATGTGCATTTATAATACTATCGTACTCTGATTCGTTACGAAATAACGAATACAGTTAAAATAGGACACTGATATCGCATATGACGATATCACAAATGCTGTGAATTCACGAATACGTTTTGCGGAAATATTTACAGTAAACATTCAAACACGCAAGTGTTTATTTTGTAAGATCAAACCGCGCGTAATACAATGTTATATGCTAAACTCGTGTAGATAATATATTAAATCGAACTCAGAGCAAGCCTAATTCTAAGTATGTGTGTAAAATACACACAAGCACGCGCGCGCGTGCACGAACACACACAGTAAATTATTAATGCTATTTATAAGAAATTTTCTGAAAAAGTGCGTCATATAGTTTTTATTCTCAATTTTCTTGTATGCATTCACTCTCAGATGTGAATTATTTGCTTGCTTGATTTTATTATCACCTATTACACGTTGTTTTTAGCAAAAATCAAGTTCCATCACGGATCGACTTAATCTAGTCATTGATCAAATTAAGAAATAAAAGATATTAAAAGTATATTTGATAAACAACAATAAGTCATATGACACGCGATTAAAATAGTTCTACAAAGTAGAACAATTATTCATGTACATACGCATACATACATATTTTACGTTTCCAGATGCAGTCATGTGCCATATTGACTATTAGTATTAATTCTTAAAGGAAGAAAGCGGACATAAGACATCTATCTTTTTGAAATAGCGAACTATAATATACATTTGTGAGTCCACGAAATTAATGAAAATAAAATTAATTGTTTAATAATAAATGTAATGTTTTTCTATTTGTGTTTTTTACATTTATAACCATAGTTACGAATATGTATAATATTATTTTATCGTCTGAGTATATAAATTTATATTATCAAGTTCTTTAAAATATATCATTAATTATATTTGTTGATCATTTGTTGATTCTTTTATGAAAAGAAAATAATTTATGCACGTTTTATTTAGGTATTGTTATTGTTTTATATTCAATTGTTATATATTCAATTTTCTTGAAATGGCTACAAATTTATCTTTATGATTTCATGACTATAGATAGAAAGAATTTCTTAATCGTTAACAAAGAAATAATTTAGAGAAGGGAATTATTCTTCTTTATTTAAACAATAGCTGTTGTAATTTATACAATATTATTATAAATAATAATATAATAATAATTATTATAATGCCACATATATGTATTAATATCTACTTGTTATAATAATTATTATTATAATTTTGAGTACTGCAACGATTATACTATTACTATAGCGCTGTAGAGAAATTTTCATGACGCATTATCCACAATACTAATAAGAACGGTATACTGATACAATATTATTCAATACTTTTTTATTCTTGTGGTTATAAAAATAATATTTTTGCCTTACAAATGATGATTTTTAATTTAATAGATAACATAAGAAATAAAGATTTATGTTCATATATCTGAAATTTTATATCTGAAAATAATACTTTCTTGTATCACAATATTCTTTTCTATTTTATTTATCATGCCATTTCTTTTATTATCTCTTTTTCATGACTATTCTAATTAATATATAAAATATATTTTTTCGCATGATTAAATCTAAGTCGATGCATGTTCAGTATATTACACCTAAACGAATAAGATCTCGTAAGTAGATAAATAGACGTATCATCGGCCTATGCACAATATTTAGATTGATTCGAGTAAGTCATTCCTAAATTTCATACGCTCGTACAGCGACGATTAAAATATAACGCTAGTTTACAAAAATTATTTTTTTTTTATTATTTGAATCAAACAAGAAGATTCTTATAAATTTTTGGATGCCGTTAAAAAAATTTAACTCATATCATTTTCAGCATTCAAAAACCTATAAGAAACACTTTGATTCAAAATAATTTTTTGCTGTAACCAGTGTAATCATTCGTGAAACAATGTAAAATCTTTTCAACATGTAAAATATACATCTTTTTTGTGAACCTTATCATAATTCGACATTGGAACTGCTACGACGAATGTATCGATTAAAGTAATCCGGTCGCCAACATTTACAGCTTCCGGGAACCAAGAACCAGTCGTAATACAATCGCACCTAAAAGAAGAAATAAGAAAGATGTCAACAATTTGCAAATCTTATATTCAAACTTTCACCCAGTATTTTATAATGTGAAAGGGAAAAGAGATTGCGATTGAATTATTTTGATTATTTGACGTTCTAATAAGAAATAAAAAAGACTTATTATTCATATAAATACCCAATAGGAAAAAATTCATATCCGTTCACATAACTTGTTCACGAAACGATTTATTTAATAAAAACATAAAATTCTGTCAAGTTTTTAGAAATGAATATTGCAAAAAAAAAGAAAATTGAACTTTTCAAAAGAGCAAATTTTGAAAATGAAGCACAAGCGAGAAAGAAAGATGATGATATAGCTCTCACTTGGAAGCAACCCATTTCATCGACACCATCACAATGGTGTTGCTGAGCATTGTTACCACCATTATTACGTGCTTCTCCCGTGCTCGCGCGTTTCTGCAAATATTGTTGATAATTCTGAAAATCATGGACTGGGGGCGGCGATCCAGCGACAGGATCTCGAGTACCAGACCCGATACCAGTACTAGTCGCTTGATTCTCCTCTAAAAAGGTATCCGGATAAAATATTTCGGCGACTAATAGGCTCGTCCATCTCGGTGACGATAGGCATCCACCATCCAAGTAGTGACACCTCGATTGCCTGTGGATAATGAAAACTCTCAAAAATAAACCTCCGAATCCCTTATAAGCCGTATTATCGCGTTATCGAAATGCGGCCGAGATCTTACATGCATCTGGTGAGCTCGATCGTCTGCGTGAAGTAACCTTCGTAAGGTATCTGTACAACGTATCTCCAGACACCCTGATAATTCTTGGCGAAGACCGGAGTCGCGTACTCGACTTTGGCCGGACAAGGAGTCGGCGGGCCGGTATATTCCGTTTTTTCCTGCGACGGTACGCGTTCTCCTCGTCGATAATCGGATGTCGAGGGTTCATCCCGGCGTTCGATGGTCGATGCCGACGATGCGATCGATTCCCCTTGGATCGCTTTGTACAACATGCATACTCTGTTCGAAGAATAATAACGTTACAATCGAATTTGAGACCTAAATAAATGGATGGATACTTGTTTTGCTTAAGCATGCCTTTTTGCCTCGACACAGGGAACTCGCCGAAGCTTTTAAAACAGTAAAATATACTTACACTCCGCTACCATTTTCGCAAAATTTGCGACCATTCCGATTGGAATCCGTCACTAAAGTCGCATCCAACGGACTAGATCTTTTGTTTCTACTATGTCTTTCTTCTTCATCCGTGTCAACGCTACGGAAAGGGATTGTTAGTTTCGATATGTCGAATTAGTACATTCGGTATATTATGACAAAAGTCAAGTACTAAGTAATAAATATTACGATTTTTATTGAAAAAAAAGTGAAAAAAATTTGGACTTACAAGTTTTGTGATAACGGATGCACTTTGGCAACTTTGGGCAATGAATCGTCAGCCTTGAGGATCGGTAATGCCTTGCTGAGAAACTTGAGAGTATGATTCTTTATCAGCGCGCTGCGGAAAAAAATTGTAAATTAATTAATTTAGTAAACGGAAAAATAGTTTGATTGGTTGTACCAATTCTAAATTCTGTTTTAAAATAAGAACGAATCAGAAATTCCCGACCGAAATTATCCATTGAGATTTCTATTTAAATTAGAAAGATTAAAAATTTTGTTCATCTAAATGATGATGAATTTGATGATAACTTCAATTTATTGGAGTTCAATTTATCGGAATTTATAATTTGTTATTTTAAAACAGAATTTTTGTACAATTAACTAAATTATTTTTTTCATGACTAAGATTATCCAATTCCAATCTACATTTACTCAATCTATATTTCTCTCTTACAAAGGATACGATGAACCGTTCACATATTGGTTCATAGGATTTCGTGGAATGTAGCCTTTGTTCAAATCTCCGCAGATGTTATGTATCGAAACGAATCCCTTTCCATGTTTATCGCTGCCTGAAAGACGGAATAGAAAAAAATTATTTTTTTGATTATATTAAAAAAAAAAACACGAACGCATTTTACTACTAGTTACTTTTAAGTATCAATAATAAACATGGAGCGAGACTCTTGTAAATGGCGTGCGAAACGTAAAAAAACGTCGTTATAAAAGAACGTCGAAGCGTCGATATAACGGTTTTGATAGTAATTAATTTTAGTTTCTTGGATTTTTCTTTGCTTGTATCGTATATTCCGGACCTACCGTAACATTCTTTATCGCTGTCAATGTACGGCGGTGGCCGAACTCTCGGTGGTTCCGCGTTCGGTGATTCGACGAAGGCGTAATATCCCTCCGGAGGCTCCTCCGTACGCGTGGACTCGTTATCGTTGCTAACCGGTTTAGTATTTTTGGTCTTTTCTTCGGCGTATGATGACGCGCACAAGAGTATCATCTGAACAATAATGATATTTCATTATTTACGACCAAAAAAAATTCTACACACGTGATTATATTTATATAATGTACTTCGTAGATATTTCTCATCTTTTTTTCGCTTATAGAAATTGTAGTTTTCAACGAGAGCTACATTCACTGAGAAAATCTTTGAAAAAAAAACCCCCTCCCTCCATTTTAACTATATTTTTAACAGTAGTTTAAATAATCTCTCTTCTAGGAGATAAAGCACAAAAGAATATATTTAACTATTACATTGTACGTACATCGATACGCGTGTAATGTTTCTTATTCCATCATATGATTTTGTTGCAGTTGGCCTATATTTAATTTTCTCTCGATCTTTCCACGTTAATCTCTCTTTTCTTTATAAAATAAAATCTCTCTGTATAATATATAATCGTAACGGCTAACAGGTATTACGTTACATCGCCTCGGCACCGGTAATGATTACGAGATATCCTCTCATAGTTACCGAGGTATGCGTACGATGTTAACGGTACACGGTCCACGATCCACGCTTCTTGCTGCGGGCTGTTCAGCCTATTTTATGTAACGTGCATGTTACTCGAGCATTGCCCTACTAACCGAAGCATTATACCGTTCTACCGGTGAATCTTTCTTTTTTTCACACTTAAGGATCGACGATCATTCCAACGATTAAAAAAATATGAGGCGTACATGTACGCTTGTATGTGTATGATAATATGATAATATGATAATATGATAATATGATAATATGATAATATGATGTATGTGTACGATAATCTCGTAGAATAATTTCGCTCAATAATGATAGCGTCTCTTTAAGAAGAATTTGAGAAAAAGAGAACTTGTTTCTCTTTTTCCTCTTCAATCAAGCTCTTCGATCGATCACACCTCTCAACATATATTACTCTTCGTAACATGGTCATGGTCATTACGACACATCCCATGTACGCCGCAGGTTTGTCTATCAAAATTTATCACGTTTTAAAGGTCAAGGACAAAAGAATCTCACGTAAGAAACAAACAAACAATTTACCAATCGTACTTTTGCTGAAGACGTCAGTTTAATTTTTCCAAATGTGTATGATAATACGATAATCTCGTAGAATAATTTCGCTCAATAATATGATAGCGTCTCTTTAAAAAAAAATTGAGAAAAAGAGAACTTGTACCGATTTTAGCATAAAATTATTTTAGCGACGGAAACTATAACCGTAAAGTCGTTCATATTTTATGCGATTTTATTTAAATCCGATAATGGTCCGATAAAAAAAATGTAATTATCAAATGGCAAGTTTCCTTATTAGATTACGATGCGGATCATTGGAAACGTGACAATCTTTGACTTGTAAGAATTCTTCTCGCAAAAGGTGGATGTCCGTTCTACTTTCTTATAGTAGATCCAAGCGCTTAGGAAGTACCGATACAGTTACGAGGACAATGACGTCTCCGAACCGGTATCGACAGAAATGGTAGACTCGATTCATTTAGCGGGGCACGGCCGCTGACGATCGCACGAATATTTATCGCGAGTTTGCCTCAAGAGTAATACGATTCGAAAATTGTTGTTATTGATAATAACGATTCGCTTGTAGTAAATGGCCTTTTGGTAATGTATGTGTTTTTATATCTGCTACAAAGAAATGATCTCTTT